CCGGAAAATATCTCAACTCCCCTTTGTAAGTGCAGGTACATCTCGAGGTTCTGTACTTCCCGTCGAACATTTCATATCATTCATCAACAACAACACTCCTTTTCGATTGACTCTCATCTATAGGAATTTTCCACCACCGCCACCACCACCACCACCACCAACACCACCAACACCGCCACCACCACCAACACCACCACCAACACCACCACCAACACCAACACCACCACCAATATCATTACCACCACCACCACCACCACCACTGCATGCTACTTAAATTATCATCCTAACGAAAACAAACCTGTTGTGTGACCTAAAGAATCTTGTATACATTGTTCCCATTGAATGGCTAATATCAGTGCTTCAAGCATACACACGTGATTAGCCTGATCAGTCAGATTTTACCACGTGTCTGCCTGTTATTGATTGGCTGCCTGCTGAGGATTTGTGCGGTCAGTACCGGTGGATGACATGTCTTGCTGCTGTTGGACGTGAATTAGAGTGTTTCCAGTGTGTTTACTTATGGGATTTACTACCCTGCATACTACCAGTTCGATTGAATACAACAAAATCGTCACAAAAGCCTAGCCAATCTTAATCTTCCTGGTAATAGTAAAGTTTCGGCATTATGGTATGGTTCATCTGTAAAAATTATAAAACAAGGCATCGCTCATGTGCCGATTGAAACAAACTCACTTGATCATAGAAGCCGTAACTGCTCTGCCGTCCCGAACCATGTGCACAAACCGGGCGTTTGGGAAGATCTCACTCAGCAGTTCGAGTTGACTGAATGCTAACGGATCTTTGTTACACAGAATCCGTGCTGGCGGACCGGCTTGTTCAATCAAGGTACGTATGAATGCTGCGGCTGCTGTGTGAATGGCTTGGGGATAGAGACCTGCCTCGGTCAGACGCTGACGAGTCGATCCGGTTTGGAAGGTGAGCAACTCGTTTAGCATCCGGGGGATCAGATGTGTTTCCGGCCCACAACGAATTCGGGGATGCACATCGAGAAGAACTCGCAACAGAGTAGTGCCTGTGTGCGGTTACGTCACATGAAAATTTTAGCAGATTTGAGTTAAACTAGATTTGTTTGTTTTCGCATATAAACAACGGATGCATTCAGACACATACACAAACTAACAGTGAATAAGAAATATTTCGACTGCCTTGTTCCTCCCCGGGGTAACTTTCTTGACTTTCAATTGATTCATTAATTAATTATGAATGTGGATCTATGCCGTGAACGCTTAGAAAACAATCAATCTTAAGCTACAGTCATTAAATTGAGTATGAAGTTTGTTGTTATTGATCGATTGGTGAGGATAAATCAAGCTGGGAGAAAAATGATAATTTTACTACTTTCGATGAATCACGTCTGTTTGAAAAACTGAGCACCTGTGATAGGCATCCTGCTTTAATTCCGAGCACCAAACTGGGAAACTGTTTATAAGCATTTAGATAGCAGACAGCAGACAGCAGCAAATCATGCCAATGAATGGATGCATAGAAACTGTAGGCAATCAATATGGAGGCCATAATGGATTCATTTGGTTGAGATTCGTTTCTTCTTCAAAAACTCGATGTCCATTACAGGGTTTGAACAGATCAAATGAGATGTGCTTTGCACTTCCATATTTTACCCCGGGTTTGCATGTCTCCATCGGCAGAAGAGGAGTGAATCAAACGGAGCAACTGTTCCCTCACTGGTAACCGAAGATGTAAGTACGCGGATTTGGAGGCGAACAATTCGCTGAGATCCCAGCAAGAGGGAAACTGCAGTCAGTCAAGAACATTTGCGGATAGCAAAAAAGAAACCAAGGAGGTCATGGGATAACATGGATACCCATAAGTTCCAGATGATTGTAATGTTGTCCCATCCATAATCAAACTCAAAAAGCATTTTGCTAAATTGTTTGCTCCATTTTCAACAAAACCGGTTCGTCAGAATGACTGATTTAGATAGATTTGCAATCCTTGAGAATAATCAAATTACTAAAACCAATGAGTTGATAGATGCCTAATTAAGTTTTCCTGACTGGGAAACATTTTAACCGGTAAGTTATTCATTAAAAACGGATTTATCACTTTTTTAACTAATATCTACTCGGATTGGTTGGTATCTGGGATTCATGATATGTCAGCAGGTGAAGGACAGAAACCGCCGTCTGACGAGAAAGAAATAGTTACTTTCAAAATTGTATCCAATTCACAGCAACAAAAGGGATGGGTTGAAAGACCGTTACAAGAAAAGAACAGAGATGATTTATTTCTCCCTTTTTTGGAGGACATCAGCAGCTAAATAGACACATTGCAACTGAGATGAGACGTCTACAAAACACAAAGCGGATCTGTGTATGATGTAGCCAGTTGTGGAGCACATACAAAAGTGGTTTTGATCTTGAGGGCGAGAAACACGCTAGTATACCACCAAGTTACACCAAGTTAGCTAACCTCATTGCATACTGGTCACAGGACAACTAAAATGTCTTCCTGATCCATGTCCACGTTATGCAAATGTTTTAGGCATGCACGGAAGCTCTCAGTAAATGAACAGTGCCCATTGGGCCCGGGGGACTTTGACTTTCACATCAGTGACCTAGCCGAGAGAAAATCCGGTAAAAGAAAACGTTCCGTATTATCGGTACCTAGTTTGATACAGTCAAAATCAGATCGACGAACACAGATAACCCTAAATAATTGTGACGGCCAGTGGATGAATATACGGAAAAACAATTCGTTTTACCCACCGGACTTTTTCTCACCATAAATGGAAGAAATCCTGATTGCGACATGCACGCGTACCCTATTTGTACAAATACCACTGACTCATACTGTGCAACAGTGTGGTAAGCTAAATCGTGTCACACACCCCAAATCTCCCTTGCTCACAGCACGAGTTCATCCGCCTTACTGTTTGTCCCTCTTTGGTTTGTGCAAATGCTTATGGCGGTATCTAAACCATTCGTTTTGCGAACAGGATCGAGAAAAGTAAACAATGTGTTGGGATTTAGCAACGTTTTTTTTGGGGTGCATACCTAGTGGATTCAAGGACATTGTTTTATCTTGGACCATCTGTGAATTTTGAGTAATTTAGCTTCAGTTCTGTGGGTTTCTAGTAAAATAACTCCTCGATTATTACAAATGAATGCAAATCTAATCATTAGATAGAGAGAGGGGATGTTTTCGTTTCGACTATGAATGCATCAAGAAAATCGGTTACTTTTTTTCAGAAATTATTGCGACAGTTTGGAACTAGGAAAAGCACACGACTAATCGGGTTCATTTATCGATCGGTCGGATTGTTAAGTCACAACTAGGAACGTGGTGCTTGCCCAGCTTACCCGAGCGAGAAACCACACCTTGTATACAATCGCGAGTCTTCAACAGACCCAATGAACTTCGACTGTACAGCAGGCATGCCATCACCACACGGATGGACTGCGCGTGACAACAAGAGCATCACAAAAGTACAAGATAATGTGAAAGATGGCGCAATCGGACTGCCGTACTAATCCAAACAGCAATATTGCATCTTAAATAAAAAAGGTAGAGTTCAGTGACTTGTATTCTTCAGAAACGAGGGGCGTACCGGTTTAACACCTTTACACTGACATTCTGAGTGTTTTCAATGTTCAAAGTGATGATGGGCTCGTTACATCTAATCAACCATACTAAATGTATACAATTAAGTGTTTACTAAAAGCTGATTTTTTTAAATTTTGATTACGTATTGTGCTTAGACGATGAAATAGCTCGGTTAATTTTCATCGTACTCAAACTCTAGCCGGGGGGGGGAATCATTGTACCATTTCCTTTGCTTGCCTGGGTGAACACTAATAGAATACAAAGAATAAATATCGGTGAAACCACCTCTGAGAACTGTGATTCATGGAGGATACACATCGCTGGATGTAACAATTTCCAGTCTCGAATAGCGTAATAGGGACACTGTAAATAAAAACCATAAAAACCTGGACTTTTGTTTATATATATATATACATATTAAGATATAAGAGCGGCTAATTTAAAGACGGAATGAAACAAACGTTGTATTAATGTGGCGAATCCGTGTGTTTACCCGAAAATTCTAATAATCTGAATAGAACTTACCACTTCGTGGATGACCACCGATAAACACCAGAGGTTGTTCAGCTTCTGTCCCCGGGCCCAACGCGGAAGAACATTGCTGTCGATTGAGTTGTAAAATCGTGATTCCGGCACAAATAGCCGCGCAGACAAAAAGCGAACGAAGAACTTCTGCTCGTTTTCTGTTCCAAGGAATGTGCATGAACACAATTTGGGCTTTGTTTTACACGCTTATTCGGTGAAGTGGAAAACTCCAATTATATCGGAAATGATGCAAGCAACGTTAATTCGAAGACCTAGGCAATTTTAGCGAGGTAAACACTTTGTTTGAGCAAGCACCGAGGTCAACGGGGGACACGTTTCCCACCGATTCGAATATCCGGATTTCTTCATTGCCAGTAAACCCCTAAACAAATAGGACCACGTGATTGGTCCATTCTTCTCGTTTCCCATTGGTTCTCGCTGACATTCAGTCTAAGAAAGAATTCGGTTCCAGATTGAAGACGACAGAATGAAATCATAGATAATGCAGGGGAGGAATGACTTTTTAAAATCTGACCTTATTGGTTAGTTAATTTACTTCACAATATATTGATTTTCCCCGAGGATTCAAATCTTTAAGTGCGTCATTTTGGCGATCGGTTATTTTGCCGACGAGTGCATGGTGTGCGACGAGCCTTGGAGGGCTCACAAAGAAGTCATTTGTGGTGAGAATTTCCCAAAAGGACTTATTCCACCAAATGAAAGAGTTTATCACCCATCGAGATGACTCATCTGGGTAGCCTTGAGGGGTGGAGATCAGTCAAAGGCACCATGAATAGAGGGAAATTCGCACCAATAAAGACGAAAATGTTTCTAGAATTTCACTAAAAAACGGTCTGAAAAAGATATCGTTTTTCATTTCCAACAAGGTATTTTGTCAGTTACTCCCCCACCCCAGTCGCACTTTACCCAACAGACATTTCAGTTAAGGGAATTACCGGTCATTTTTGCCCGTCCTAAGATCATGCGAACTGCTTCTTAAAGACGATAGATCACAAACATTTCACTGCCCGTTTTTGGTTATTGATTCCGACATTTATATAATTGTTTTGAATTGTATGAATCATATGCCTCTGTTATTTTCATTCACGTCCCATCAATCACGCCTTCGTCACTTGGTACTTGAATGTTCCAAGACAAAGGGTGGTATCAAAATGATTCCTGTGAGTCTCGAAGTGACCGGTTCTCCGGTGCTTATGAAACGTCTGATTATCCCACTTGGACTTCGTGAGCCCGTAAAAAAGAGGTTCGATGAAATGGCAAGCAAGGGAGTTTTCACATTCGTTAATTCTTAAGCTTGGGCCACGCCAATTGTTATTCCACTAAAACGTGACGGGAAGACTCCTAGGATATGTGGGAATTATCGAGTTACTGTGAAAAGCCAGTTGAAACAGTGCAGTTGTGCTACCGTCGAACCAGAAGACATTCTGCACCAACTTCATGGATCCAAATTTTTCTCTAGTCTAGACTTGAAAGATGCATTTCTTCAAATTAACACACCTTTTGGTTTATTTCGCTACAATTTTCTACCTTTTGGACCCAGGGTCTCCCTCGTTATTTTTGAAACTACTATTAATTCCATCGTTTCTGGCTTACAAGGTGTATATGCCTATCAGGATGATATTATTGTCCATGCACCTAGCAGACACTTACATGACGAACCTTTGTGTGCTTTGCTTGAAAGATTTCGTTCTCATAATGTTGCTATTAACCCTGATAAATGTTCCTTTGCTAAGAACAAACTTTCTTGTTTAGGTTAGTTGGTTGATGAGACCGGATTCCGTCCAAATCCTAATCGATTTTCTTCTTTAACCAATGCTCCATCTCCCAAGTCATTCCATGAACTTTGTTCTTTAATTGGTTCCTTATTCCAAGTTTACTCCTAACTTTTCAACCCAAGCTGCTCCATTGTTCGATTTACAGTCACGGCAAATATTTCGGTGGACTTCGGTCGATGAACGTGCCTTGAGGAAATTACTTTTCTTTTTATCTACCAGTGCTGTTGTACTTCCTTTTTCCCCACCATTACATTCTGTCATCATCATCGACGCATCGCCCGTTGGAATTGAAGCTGTGTTGGAGCAGGATGGTCATCCGGTACTGTGCATCTCACACAAATTCACGGCTGCCGAACATGGGTATTCCCAAACTCAATGAGAAGGTCTAGCTGTCTATTGGGCTGTCACGCGTATGCACAAGTATCTTCATGGTACTTATTTCACTATTGTGAGTGATCATGAAACCCTGCAGTTCATTTAAAACCCTCAACGTTCCCTGGCTTATTCATCTGCAGCCATGGTACAACGATGGAGTATTGCGTTGTCGGCCTATTCCTACAACATCCATCATCGCAGCGCGCAGTCCATTCCACATGCAGACTATCTATCACGCTGCGCCATTTCAGAGGAGGCTTCTAAGGCTGATTGTCTACTCACTCAACCGCCCCCGGTAAGCCGATCTTATCTAGTTCTAGAGACCAGGAAATATTACCACGCTATCATTTCCTGTGTCCGTCGAGGTTGGTAAGGTGATATCAAGCGTCGATTTCCCGAATTCTATATACGTCGTGAGGAA